AACCCAGCTCATCCCAATCCAACCAAGATCATCCAACCCAACTCATTCCAATTCAACCAAACTCTTCCCAACTCAACTCAAACCATCCCAACCCATCCCAACTCATCCCAGTCCAACTCATCCCAGTCCAACTCATCCCAATCCAACTCATCCAACCCAACTCATCCCAACCCAACCCATCCGACCCAATCCAACACATCCAAACCAACACCACTCTATCCCAACTCATCCCAACTCAACCAAACTCATCCAACACAACTCATCCCAACCCAGCTCATCCAACCAAACTCATCCCAACCCAACTCATTCCAACCCAACTCATCCCAACCCATCCGATCCATTCCAACACATCCAAACCAACACCACTCGATCCCAACTCATCCCAACTCAACCAAACTCATCCAACACAACTCAAAGCCAACTCAACTCATCCAACCCAACCAAACTCAGCCCAAACCATCCCAATCTGACCAAACTCATTCCAACTCAACCCAACTCATCCAAACCAACTGAACTCAGCCCAAACCATCCCAGTCTGACCGAACTCATTCCAACTCATCCAATCCATCACATCCCAACCCAATCCATCACATCCCAACCCAATCCATCACATCCCAACTCAATCCATCACATCCCAACCCAATCCATCACATCCCAACTCAATCTAAGCCATCCAACACAACTCGTCCAACCCAATGTAATTCATGCCAACCCATCCATCTCACCCCATCCTGCTCTTCACACCATATCCATCATCCATCACTTCCATCCATCCATCATCCATCCATCCATCATCCATCACTTCCATCCATCCATCATCCATCCATCATCCATCCATCATCCATCCATCATCCATCCATCCATCATCCATCATCCATCCATCCATCATCCATCCATCATCCATCCATCATCCATCCATCATCCATCATCCATCCATCATCCATCATCCATCCATCATCCATCCATCATCCATCCATCATCCATCCATCATCCATCCATCCATCCATCATCCATCATCCATCCATCATCCATCCATCCATCCATCCTGGTCCCCACCGTCCCTCCCCGTTGCCCGTACCCGGTGCGGGCGAAGTTGCCCCAGTATCTCATGATGCGCCGGCTCAGCGCCTCCTCCTCGGCCGTGTAGTTGAGGCCGGGGTTCAGGGGCTGCCCGAACACGAACTCGATCTCATATCCGTGGGGGACGCCCATCCATGGCGGCCACAGCAGGTTGGAGGCTCGGTGGTCGAACAGGTAAGCGAAGACGGTGCCGCCGCGCTCGGCCCAGCGCTGGGCGAAGTGCATCAGCGGGCACACCACGTTGTGGTCGCCCACGATGTCGTCCAGCGCCTCGCGGTTCTTCACCGGGTTGTCCTGGTCCAGCCAATCCGTGTACTGCAGCACCACGGCCTCGGCCGCCAGCTCGTTGGCCTGCGGCACCCCCAGCCTCACCCCGCCCAGGAACTCCTCGCGGCTGATCAGGCTCTCGTTGTCCTTGCCGAATCCCGGCACGCCGTACACC